CATATGTGGATCCTGAGAAACCCAACAGAAGACCAGGGGGGAGGAGAAGGGGGAAAAAAACGTTACAGAGAGGGAAGGAGGCAAACCATAAGAGACTCTTAAATACTGAGAATAAACTGAGGGTTGATGGGGGTTGGGGGGGAGGGGAAAGTGGGTGATGGGCATTGAGGAGGGCACCTGTTGGGGCTGTATGGAAACCAATTTGACAATAAATTTCATATCAAAAAAAAAAAAAAAAAAAAAAGAATTCCCTAAGCATCCTCAATTTCCCAGAAGCACAGCTTTCAAAACAATGACAACAACAAAAACACAGACAGTATAATGGAGACTCAAGTGCTATTACCTTTCTGGGATTTGGGCTGATTTTGAGGCTTATCATGCCTGCCCTCTTTACTTGATACTTCCTAAGCCTGAGGTCCAGGTGCTCTGGGTCAAGTTTCCATTCTAGTTCCTGATGAAAAGGAGAGAAAGGTGATCATGTCGATTTCTGGGACAGGCCCCAGCAAAGTCACGGTCCTTTGCCAGATCTATGCCTTTTTTGATGTACACCTGTTTTTTCAGTGACTACCTTAAGTCGGGGTTACTAAATGCCTAGACTGCATGTTTTCTTTGAAGGAGAGTCACGGCATAGCTTGTGTCAGAGAATGGCATTGACTGCCTGCAAGCTGCCATTTGCTCTACCGATAAATAAGCAAACAAACAAATATTTTAGAAACTTAAATCAGATTATAATCAATTGAGATACATAGGAATTCTGGCACTTGATCAGTAACTAGTCATTTTTTAAAATTACTGTCATTTTTGCCGAGTGAAAAAGTACTATAATTGAGGAAATAATGTCATGGAAATGGGCATTTCTGAAGAGTCTGGAGGGATTCAACCAAATGAATAGTCCCGCTTGTGTAGAAAATGCCCTTATGTGATATTTCTGTAGAAATTTCAGCTATTCAGAAACCATCAGAAAATCGGAGAGCAAATGCAGCCAAACCGAACATTTGCTAACACCTGCTATTATATTAAGGTTTTCTATTTTGCACAAAGGAGACTCATCCCATTCAATCGGGGTCTGTTTCTCTCTTTATAACGGCAGATGCCAGATATGATTCTAAGCCCTTTATATGCATTAATTGATTGAATCGTTGCATAACTTTTCAGGTGGATACTTATACTCCTTTTGCAGATGTGAAATTTAATTCTGGAGTGATTCTAAATAGCTCAATTACCCTGTTTTTAAGCTCACAGAGAGGTAGAAACAATAAATTAAGCTAGGGGTTGGACTCACTTAGGAGGCAGACACACCGACAGAAGCGACAAAGAAGGTACAGGAGTCTTTTGCAAACAGATGCAGAGCAAAATCCCACCAGGGGCACAAAGACGTGATGATGCAAATCAGCAATAATTAGCCTCTCACCATGATTCTCTCAAATTAGTCTGGAAATTCAGGATACCATTTATAAGGTATAGAACTGATAAATGGGATGTATGGATTCATAATTATATTTATAAATGGATTTGTAATTATTGATGTTATCTCTTCCAACTAAAAAACCCTGGAAAACCAACCAAAAAGGGCTTATACCTAATGCATCATGTGGCAAGACCATAAACTATGTCTACAAAAAGATACCCATTTCCTATATAAGAGCAATAATCAGTTATATACCATCATAATAAAATAATTCACTCATACTAATACCAAAAATATACCCAGAATATCTGTAATAAGAAGCCAAGAAAGTTCTGTAAAGAGAACGGCAAAGCTCTACCAACAAATCTAAAACGTGACTTAAACAAATTAAGATGTTTACTTTGGTTCTGGATGAAAGAAATAATGTTATAAAGATTGAAATTCTTTCCAATGTAATTATACGTTGTACTAGTCAGAACCTTTTCAGTGGCAAGAGAGAGGAACCCACATAAAACTCGATCAGCAAAGCACCACCACCCCCCTCCCCCAATCCTATTTACATACGGAAGTCTCAGTATTGTATCTAAATTCAGGCACTACTGGATCCAGGAATCAAATGATGGCATGAGAGCACGAGCCTGTTTGGTGGCTTTCCTCTCAGACCAACTCTCTTCACGTGGCTGCAAAATGTCCATTGGCAGCTCCGAACCCACCATCGCCCTCATAACCGATGATCCCAAATGAAGAGAAAATGAGCCACCAATGAAAAAAATAAATGGAGATGGTGATCAGCAGTGCTGATGATTAATGGCTTGCATAGGAAAAGGAGAGCTGTTCAGACATTCTGTGCCCCTGAAGTACATGATACTTCTTAGGGAGTACTCCTGCCCCCCAGAATCAAACCTGAAGCGACAAAAACTCTGGCTCAGCTATGTAAAAAGAACACACACGCGCATGCACGCACACACCGAGTAAAGGCTGGACAGAAATAAACCAAAATATTCATTGTGGTTATTTCTGCATCCGTTATTTTGAAAAGTACATTACCTTTTACCTTTTTCTGCACTTTCTAGATTTTCGTTGATAAGTGCTTGTGTTCATTATAATCAGTGAAACAAGAAATATCTAGTTTTACAACTGAGGGAGAGCTAAAAATTCGTATAGAATTTATGATTAAGTAATCATTCCGAATAACAAAGAAAAGGTTACTTTTTTCATATGGAGAAGATGTGGAAATACACACTATCACGTGACAAATTTTTCATCACACAAATGTTTAACATGGCACGCCCCTGGTGCCTGCAGAGTTAAGCTGGAGGTGCCCGAAGACCATAGAGTGGGATGAAGAACCGTTAGTGCACGCAATTGTGCTGTTTACTGCTCTGCGAGTTGCAGCTGGGTGCTGGCATCCTATTCTGGGTCTACGGTGATTTCCTCCAGAGTTTCGAGCCATAAAACCGGACTGTTGATTTTGTTTGCTTCTTTGCAGGCCTCCAGACAGTGGGGATATTCCGAGTTGGAAGCTCAAAAAAGAGAGTGAGACAAGTAAGTGAAAAGGAAAGACCGCGTCGTACGTTTCACATGACTTTCAAATGAATTACCTCATGCAAAGTTCAAGCGTATGCAAATTCATTTCTCAATATCTCTGCGGTATCCTCCCACCAATTAGAGTATAATTGACTCCCAAGAGGTAAAAGGCTCAGAGAGGTTGTGATAGAGTGAGGCTCAAACACTTGAAAGCAAAACATTTGGATGTGTCCATGGCACATACAGCCAAGCAAAACTAATTCATAAACATCTTGTGGAAATGATAAAAGCAGGAGATCCAGAGAGCACCTAAAACAGTAAGTGATAATAAGCAAAAGACTCTTGTATAGCACTTGTTTTTACTAAAATGCAATATGAATAATGCCATTGACATTCTCTTCATATAAGATGCTATTTTTGATCGTTGTACCTTCTCAAAACTAAACAATTCTTAGTAAGTTTCCGTAAAACCCTCGATCCCCAATTCATTTTGCACGTGGGGACCGCACGCACCCCTTGGTTTCCTTCAGCGCTGTGCCACATTCCCCCAACAGAAGTTTGATACCTAGACTGTCAGGAATCGATGCCTATGATCAGGAAGGTATTTGTGCTCCTGATGGCTTCCCCAAGAGGCAAAAGCCATCCTTTGAAAAAGTAATTCATTTGTTGGCCAAGAGAAAATTAAAATGTTAAGTCTCCTCTCTTGGTTCCGACAGAAAGAAGGAACTCAGCAACTCAGAAATGGAGGCAACGGAAAGTAATTTTTAGTTGATGAAGCCGAATAAATATTTGTTCATATTAATAAAACTAACTGAAATAAATGCCTCTTTTTTTTTTTGTCAAAACAAAAGGGGCTTCCGAAAGGAGTATTGTCTTTATTTTCCATAGTCACACTAGAGACTATTGAACAGCATTTAACATTTCACAACAGGACTTGCAAGAAGGAAGATGGTATAGTAACATTTTGGGGCCGCTCATCTATGTGGACCTGGAGAACACTTTCAAAACGTTACCTTATTGACTCCACCCACCAGCTCTGAGAGTAGCCCCTTCCTTCACCCACTTCCTTTGAGGCTTAGAGAGACTAAGAAACTTAATTCAAGATCACACAGTTTGATCCGTGCTCAATTCAAGATCGGTGTTAAACCCAAGATCACACAATTTGGATTAAGCTCTTTCCGAGGTCCGTTCTTTCTGCACATGTGTGCGCTCAGGAAGGAAACGTGACGTGTTTAAATGCTCACAAGAAGGAGTGATACCAGTGGAACCTTTGTCGTTCTGGCAGCCTGCTGCACACTAATGACAACTTGGCTGGAATCGATGAGCAATTCGGGACACTAACGCACGTTCTGCTCAGGTGGAGAGGAGGCTGGTGTCAGAAATGGTTTCTCAGTTCTATCTGGATCCATCAAAGGGGAAAAATCTCTGCAGGGAGATTCATTTAAGGATTATCCAATAACAATATAATTGTGGTTATTTAGACTTAGATTCTAGTGTGAAATATGCCTTAACTCTGCATTTTATTTTGAACATCACGTCTTAGCGCCCTGCATTTTTTACGGTTGTCACAATATTAAGAGCTAATTAATCATTTGGGGGATTACCAGTTTATCGCCAGACTCTGTATCAGTCTGAGAGCTGAGGGTGGAAAAGGACGTTGCCTCTTTATTCCCTACCGTGCTTTGAGAGCCTGTACCGAGGCCTGGTACACGGGAAATTGAACGGATGAATGAATGATTGAACAAATAGATTCTTATGGAAGCTCACTGCATAGAGGTGATTCACGAACTCACATAATTGTTTCCACAGGAGGAAACAGTACATAAGGGAAGTTAGGCTGTCGGTCATGGAAGTAGGGTGTAGGGTTATGACTCCCTTCCTCTCGCTATTGGGTTTTCCTGTTGTTGTAAATGCTAATAAACCGAGTATAATGATGAAGGCAGGAAATCCCTTTGGGAATTGTTAATAAGGCTACTCTGACATCCCTGAGGCACATTTTGTTTAGTAATTGTCATCTTTCAAGCCTTAGTCACAAACGGCTTATGAGGGTTTTTTCATTTCGTTGTTTGCAAGAAAAAAAAAAAACCCTTGCTTTCTTGTTGAGTATTTCTGTAAAATGTCAAAATTCCAACCTAGTAGGATTGCTGACACACAAAACTGCTGTGCAATCGGTTCGTTCCTCCCTCCCACATTTACTGTTGACCTAACCCCTTAGCTCTTCCTCCCAACCTTCTGGATGGTGTTATCAAGCTTTTCTGCCTGCATCATTAACTTCAAACCTACAGATACTTTTATTTAATAATGCATGTAAATATATATATATTCTTTATTATTATTAATGCATTATGTATATATGTATATATGTATTATGCATATATGTATATATGTATTATGCATATATGTATATATTGTATATATGTATATATGTTTATGTATACATATATGTATATGTATGTATGTATATGTGTATATATGTATATATGTGCATATATGTGTGTGTGTGTGTGTATATATATATATATATCTTCATGACTGGATGCATAGACTTTGTCGATCAAGGTGACATGTTTTCTTCTCCTTTCCTGTGTCTGCATGAGCCTAATACCACATACTGCATGTCACAGCACTTCCTTTTTTTATTTTGCTGGACACTGAACATTGAGGTGTGGTGTTATAAGGCTGCCACTTGAACCATTATTTTTCCAGTTACGTGAGGAATTTGACCGCGGGGTCGATGTCTCTCTGGAGGAAGAGCACAGCGTTCATGATGTGGCTGCCCTGTTGAAGGAGTTCCTGAGGGACATGCCGGACCCCCTTCTCACCAGGGAGCTGTACACGGCCTTCATCAATACTCTCTGTGCGTAATACACACATTTGCAGGAATGTGTCCCGGGAGTCCTGGGATGTCCAACTCACTCATCAAACCGTGTGCATGCGTTTCCCAGTACCTCCTTTTGTTCTTATTTATTGGTCTCTAATGAGTGGGCTATTTGGGGGAATTTTGTGAGATTTCCCCTGGGGACAGTTAGCAAGAAGAAAGTTGCGATAGAACAAAGAAGAATTTGGGATGCTTTCAAATGACCCCAGCTCAGTAGAGAGTGCTATATATTGATGCTTTGAAGTAACAGCAAGAGTTCCCGTTGAGTCTGTGCCTAAAAATGAGTTCGCATTACTGGTAGGAGGAAGGAGGGAGCCACAGAAACCCAGAGTGAGAAAAGGCAGCAGGCGACATTCCAGGGAAAGCAGGATGCCATAGTCCAGTGCCGGAATTTTCAATATGGCTGCCCCGGGGCTATAGATGCAGATCCCGTGGAGGCGTCAAGGAAGAGAGGGAGGAGGGACAGGCCAGAGCTGTGTCAGCCTCCATACATTTCTTCCTCCAACGCTACCATTAAAATAGGATCACAAAAGAGAGAGAAGACACTCATTGTGCCATGTCTTGGTTACTGCCAACAAAAAGGCAGTTCCTTGTGCATTGCTCGACGGAAAAGGGCCTCACATCTGCTATAAACTCAACATGGAGAGTGTTCACCGATTCCCAGTCATCGTTAGTAAATATTTACTGAAAACGAGAGCCTGCGATCCCCAAAGTAAATGATGGGTAATGCCAGGGAAAGGAGGGAGAAGAAAGTAAGTGAAATTAAGTTATCTTTCTACCATGGACTAGAATGCTTTCTCTCGATGTTGCAGCTCCCTGGGTCTGGTTTATCTTTACGGCCTTCATAGAACCTCGTGCTAAATTGCTAAGCCAGGGCTCCCATTGGGTGGAGTGGAATGTGACTTGCCTTGCTAATCCCTTTTGGAAAGCCGTCAGGAGGGGCCTCTTCTCCGGGCCCCAATGGTGGGAGCTCCCCCTTTAACTGACTTAGAATGCCTCCTTTTGCCTTGCTTAGTGTTGGAGCCAGAGGAACAACTGGGTACCTTGCAGCTTCTCATCTACCTTCTACCTCCCTGCAACTGCGACACGCTCCACCGACTCCTCCAGTTCCTCTCCATGGTGGCCAGGCACGCCAACGACAACGTCAGCAAAGATGGGCAAGAGGTAGGCACCCCACCCCCCGCCGCTGCCCTGCATGCTGGGACTCGTCCTTTGTCCCCTTGCAGAAGAGTGGGCATCAGTTCGGTTAAGTGTTTCACCTGGAGGAAAGGACGCCTGCCCTTTCCTGCCCTAGCTGTCCATGTAGAACGAGAACTAGTGTTGTCTCCGGCGGGACAGTTCCTAAGAGCGCACGGGCCCTTAACCTCCTGTGTTTCAAGACGGCTTCCAAACGAGGCTGTCATTTTCCCTGACGGTGCTTTGCTCAAGACCTTGAATCTCCGTTGGTATGAAGAAGACAAACAAATGAGCTACGGAGGGGCTTAGGATCATGAACAACACGGAGTCATGGGGATGGGGGAAGATTGCTGTCTTTGTAATTAATTCGATCTGCTTCTTTCACTTGAAGCCCAAATATGAGGCCACATTATTCTTCCAGTTTGTCCCTCAAGCTCCCATCTGCCCGATAGTTACAAGTCTGGTATCCTTTCTCTCCTTAAACCGTCCTGCCAAGACAGGCCGGCTCAATGCAACGGAGGGTCAGTCCTGCTTCCAAACCAGGTGAAGGAACTGCATGGTCCTGTGGGCCCTTTTGGGACGTTCTTGTTGAGCCCGGTCCCCACTCGGGCCCTAGTGTGACCCCACCCTCTGCCCATTTGAAGTCCTGGGCTCTGGTTCTCTTTGGTCACACTCATATGCTTCGAGGTGTTTTTTGGTTTCACCCTTGGGCAAAGGAGATGCCAGCTTCAATTTCAGGTGACCATTTAGCCAGCATCCTGTTTAATCTTGACCTTACCAAGAGATCTGTTTCCCTTTTGGATACCATGCCGTCATACTTCTTGACCTTGGATTCCCCAGGTGATCTCAGACCCTTTACTATGCTGACACTCGTTACAAATCAGATGAGAAGAGGCCAAAGGCATTCCAAATTTATTTAAACACAGAAACTTTTCTCTTCAATCCTTGTTAAGCAGAACTCAGCTCTATCATGGATTCTGTTCTGTTTGTCAAATTTCTTTGCTAAAAATATATATGTTTTCACTTTAATCCAGAACGACAATTTTGCAGTTCTTATCTTCAACCTTCCGGTTGGCGTAAGGATGGAACTTTCCTGAGTTAGCCATTTATCTCTATAGTAGTGATAGTTAGTGAACCCTCTGCTGACTTTAGGCTTCATAATATGGCACTGACACCTGATTTCAGCAGACACAGCTCTTCTGGGGATATGCTGTAATTCTCATAATTGTTAAGTAGTTATATTACCCGTCTGGGTGTCGTCCTTTATCAGCTACTGATGTAACAGAAACCGTAGACTCCTCTGCCTAATCATTGGGTAGAGGCAGGACCCTGTCTGTGTGATTAAGGAGGCAGCGAGGAAAGCAGAAAGTCCAATTGAAGTCACTCTTGCGTTTTTTAGAATTCATTTTCAGACGCTCCGTCCAAGGGCGGAACAGGCCTCCATTACTTATGCCCGAAAGTAGAAAATACTCCTAGACAGGTCCCAATGAAACTTAGCATGTTTCCATTGATGTATCTCCCACCTCGTGCTGGCTGTGCTCCAGGGGCTCCATACATTACAGCGCATCCTCCCCTACGCAAGACAGATATAGTTGCCTCCGTGTTTCAGAGGTAGAAACTGGGGCCTAGAGGGGCTAAGTAACTTACCTCGTGGCCCACAGGGAGCTCCACTTACGGTTGTGCACGCTGCTTACTTGTGCATTTCATAACTCTGGGGGAGGGCACTGTGCACCCCACAGTCGCTGTGGATTTGCAGAGTTGGTAAGACAATAGCCCAGAAGATGGCATGAAAATATCTTGAGGAAGGGGCTCCTTCTTCCAATTCACGCAAAGTTGTCATATTGAAGAGGGGGCGGGACGGTCCAGTGACTAGTAGTTACAGCGGTGGCTCAAACCCAAAGTGGTCTAGCTTACTAAGAGCAGAAATCTAGAATAGAAATTAGGAAAAACCCTCCCCTGGGGGTCTAGTTCAGGGTCTTCCAGCTCCCGTGCGATTGATGTTTGGGAGCAGGGAATTGTTGTAGGGGCTACCCTGTAAATTCTGGAATGCTTAGTAGCATCTCTGGCCTCAGCCCACCTGATGCCAGTAGCAGCTCCCCGCCATGCCCCAGGTGTGACCAGCCGAAAGCATCTCTAGACATTACCAAGGATCCTGTGGGGGCTGGGAGAGGGGGGAAAAGTCACCCCTGGTTGAGAACACTCGGTAGCTTTTATAACTAAGTGACCATGTGTTCTTGGAGAAATCTATTAACCTTCCTAAACCTGAGTTCTGAGCTTTGGGGATAAAATTTCTTCAACCGGCACCGCACAGCGGTTGAGAAGAGTGGTTTACTCTAAGGAATATGCAGATATCCCAGTAACAGCAAGGTTGTACAGGGAGTCAAGAGTTCGCAAGGGTTTCTAGACACCCTTGGCCTAAACCTTGAATCAAAACGAAGGGCTGGGAATCAAACGTTAAAGCAGCAGGGGAAATATGAGGAGAGTGTTGTTTCTGTGAATTGGTTCGAAGTCGCGGGAAAACAGGTGGCCCACGCAGCCATCTTAGATTCGAGTAAAGGCCATAGAGTGGGAAGGTCCTGGTGAGGTTTGAGGGGAAATTGGGCTGTGTTTGTAGAGTGCTGAATGCCTTTGTAAGGGACTAGGTGCTTAATTCTTTTAAGCCCTGAATCTCTGGAAGGATTCCACTAAGGTAGTATCACCCACGCTGTAGATTGGTTAGAGGCAGGGAGAGAGCGAGTGGGGAGGCTTTTGTATAAATAGCAATATGGAAACCAGCAGTTCACGTTGTAAATGTCTCCACGTAACAGTGGCCTTGGCATTTGAATCGCGTACGTCCTGAGCACCTATCTGAGTTCCTCTAAACGAGTGAGTGTTGTTCAGCAATTTTCGTATTACTCTTCCTCGGATGCTGTGGCCTCTGGGAGGTGGCGGAGGCAAGGACACAAGGCAAAGAGAGAATTAGGGAATGCAGTGAGGACTCACTCCGGAGCTGCAGAGAAAAAGTGGCGAGCGTGGTCCAGAAAAGTTAAGAGGGGCATCACCGAGGAGACTGAGTTTAAACCGCGCATCAGCAGGCGTGTAGGGATCGAATGTCGGCTCCGCTCCGGGATGGGAATTAGCGAAAAACCCCTCTGGTCGAAGTAGGAGCGGACGGAGAGGAACTAGAGAGAGGTTGTTGGCTTAATGTTTGGTGGTAGAGAATACAGGCCGAGCGCAGTGGAGGGAGGCAAAAATCAAACTGTAAACTATCGTCAAGAAACAAAGCAGTTTTCGACTTTTCCTCTTCCCTGTTTGGTGGTTTGGGTTAGGTGCGTTATCTATTTGTTGGATAGTTGTTATGGCTCGGAGCATGAAGAAGGGGGGCCAGCACATCTAGAAGCTTGGAGGCTCACACAGGGTCTAGCCAGCGCCTTGCCACATGAACTTGTTTCTGTAAAACAGAGGAAGAGGGAAACGTACAGGGTTGGGTGGGGGAGGCCATTTTTCTCCTCGATAAAATGAACATAATATTTCCTTTCGAACTGGCACCTAAAATTTACTGCGTCCCTAACTGCTAGGATCTTACAGATTTTGAAAAGACGGACCTGGGGAAAATTGTTGGCTCGTCCGTCAGTGCTTTTCTTGGGGAAAAGAATGGTATTTTACCAAATCAGGGTGTTTAGCTATCAGTGTTTGCTTTGTTTCATTCCATTTTGTTTACTATCTGCTTTGCTCCTTGGGGAGAAGAGAAATTCCCAAATGTACGAAAGATTTCATTTCTTTTAGAAAGAATATTGCAGGAACATACCTGAGGCCTCTTGAGCCGTGGGTTCCCAGGTTGTCCAGGAACCCTCCGGTATCGCACGGAAAATGTGGTATAACCATGCACCGTTTGGGTGAGAGAGTCCATGGCTGGCCTCATTTCTGCAAAGAGTCTACGAGGCACAAAAGGAGTCATGAGCCACCAACATAAAGCTGACACTTTAGTGGGAGGTTGGCTTTGGAACCGGGACAAAGATGCAGGGTAGCTTCTCGGGTCTGGGCTCCGGGCATCACTTCCCTGTCTGTCGAAAAAGGACAACAGCCCAGCTGCTTCATGAGCTTATAGTGCAAAAGAATTGAAACAGCCCGTGGGAAGTTCCTGCTCCGGTGACCGTACGTGCCGAACTTGTAATACATGTGAGCGAGTCATATTCTGTTTAGAAACGATCTAGGATGCTTATTGGGTAAAGAGAAAATTGTTCCTTTAATTGGCTGGCTAATCATTAACTAGCGAACTGCCCCCAAGCGCACATGGTTATGACCTGGACATATGGATACGTAGGTGCTGACACACGAGCACAAGAGTGAAGGCTGTCTGTGAACAGTCTCCTTTCCAGGTTCAAAAGCAGTAAACCAAAGACAGATCAAAAGAAAACAAAAATGCGTTAACAAGCCCCAGCAGCATGGTCTGCAGCTGGGATCTATGTACAATTTTACAGACGGATTGAATTGCATTCCCAGAATAGCAACAGGAGAAGAAGGGAATGGAAACCGAGTTCTGGATCGTCCTTGTACTAAACATTCTTTTAAAAGAAAACAAAATCTTCTATTTGTTAATGTTAAAAAAAAAATCAGGGAAAACCCTGATAGGACTTTAAGAGGAGGGGAGGGGAGGCCCTCGAGATGCCTGAGCTCTCAAGGGATGAATTTGAAAATGACACCTATTTCAGTTTATCCTTAGCCATAAACTTCCAGGAAGAGAAATGAAAAATAAAGGGAAAAAACATGGCAGGGTTTGTATGAATGAAATAAAACAGAGACAAAATAGTTGAACCGTCCTACACAAAGAGCACTTCCTTGAAAATTCCCAGTGTTGACCATTCAAAAGCATTTCACTTGGCAGGAAACCTGAAAACAGGCTCCCCTTCCAAAAATAGCACCCACTGTGTGCCACTCGGGGCCACGCGGGGATGGCAGGGCCGGGTAGCCGCAAGCTCGGGGCTCCCCAGGACAAGGGTCAGACCAGGAGTCTCTCTCGTGACTGTGAACCCGGACTCTTGAATTCTGCTCTGTGTGCCCGGGTGCCCCTCGAAGGTTGGGCACATCTTCCCAGGCTGAGCAGCCATGGTTCCCGGATGTATCCCTGCATTGCTCGATTTTCAACTCGTATCAACAAGAGAAATAAACATGTGCCTGGATCGGTGGTTCTCGCTCAAGGGCAGTTTAGCCCCCCGGGGGACTCGCAGCAATGGCCTTGCCTGCCTCTCCTGCAGCGCCCTTTGCCGCACTGGCATGCCTCGATGTGTTTTATGTGTTTCTGTTTTCGCATCCAGCGTTCTTCCTGCAGTGGAATTGTCCCTTGCCCCAGCCCCTCCGCTTCTTCCTTCATGGTTTTGTGCAAATATTGCCACCTCTTTGGAGTGTCCCTGGGGCCTCCAGAGCTGATAGCTTCATACTTTGTACTTACCACTTGGGCCTGATATGTCTGTTTCCCCTCTAGAAAGTGAACTCTTTAAAATAAGGACTGTAGTGTCATCATTGTTGAACATTGTTTAAATAGTGAGAATCCATGAAAACTGTATAGCCTATGGTAGGTGCTTAGTGGGTGATTTAATAGAGAGATGATGAATGGATGGATGCAGGGATGGATGCAGGGATAGATGGAGGGCTGGCTGGTGGATAGATGGATGGATGGTTGGTTAGATGGATGGATGGACGGACATCAGTAGTTTTTAAAAGCAGACAGGGCAGACATTTATAGAGTGCCGGTTTCACAACGAATACCTTAGAGACGTAAAATTGTGCTTAATATGCTATTGAAATGACCAGGGAGCTATGAGAGTCAATCCAAGATACGAAGCAAAAGGAAAATGACAGTGCTCCTCACGGATTCTTCCAGAAATGATACAGTCCTTGCAGAAAAGAAAGGGGAAAAGGTTCCTTCGATTACCGAACCACCCAGCAGTTTGAAAAGCAAAAATAACACCAATCCTTGTATTCCCCGCTCTTGTAGGTCACTGGGAACAAAATGACATCTCTAAACTTGGCCACCATATTTGGACCCAACCTGCTGCACAAGCAGAAATCCTCAGACAAAGAATTCTCGGTCCAGAGTTCAGCCCGGGCTGAGGAGAGCACAGCCATCATCGCTGTGGTACAGAAGATGATTGAAAATTATGAAGCCCTGTTCATGGTAAGTGGCTCTTCTTTTGCACGACATCTCAGTAAATGGCCTATTAATTCTCTTTAGTGGCATAATGAGACCCATGCACACCGTGTTCTGCTCTAGAGTGCCAGTCGTTGCCTGAATTCGTTGGCAACCAGACAGTTTCAGTAGACGTAGAAATTCACATAGCTGTGATGCCACTGGAAATGTGCGATTCCATGTTTAAACAAACCTACCCAAGTTAGAAATTTCATTTCGTCGGCCCCTAAACAACGGTCACAATTTGGAGTCATTTAATTATTCAGGTAGCAATGTCCTTGCTCAAAAGTATTGATAAAACCCTTCTTTGGGGAATTATGTGTGGCCCTCATGAATTCATGTAATTCATGACCGTCTCCATCAATGGCACCTCCTGCAAGGTCCATCTTGACGTTCTAGCTGCTCCATGAAGCCTCACCTCTCTCTCCCATGTCCTTCTCATGTCACTTCTCTGTCCCGTGAACTCCATTACTGTTCTTATTGATGTTTATCCTACTCAACATTGTGTTACAGTCATTTATGACTATTTCCCTTAGTAGTTTATAAATGCATTTGAAACACGGGCTGTGCCCTCGTTATCTCCTCTCTGTATCCTCTGTGCACTTTTGGAAGGCCCTCCATCTGGCAGGCACTCAATAAATACTCTTTTTTATTTGTATTGAATTACCAGTTCCTGTTTTGCTTCAAAACACCACCCCGCTCACTCCCACTTCCCTTGAAACATTAGAACAAATGCCAACTCTCTTCTATTTCTGTTCACCACTCCTATCGCATATCAGAATGTACAGGAACTTTCTCCATGTTTCCTCTCCCATTTCTCCTGTCAACTTGCAAGCACTCATCATAAATCTTACCTATTCTGCTAGAGCCTCGTGTGGCTTCTTCCCGAGTATGCTAGTTCCCTCTTTTGAATCTCCTTAGTATTTCGTCTACATTTATCAAATGCCTCGCATTAGATTTACTTCCATGCTTGTCTTACACCAATTATTATATTTTTTTTTTGTACATTTGAGAGCCAGGGCTTCAGAATCTTTGCCCTCCGTGTCTTACCTGTGTGATCGTGACCCAGTAACTCAGCGCTCAATAAGCATCGATTTCAGCTTCCGTGAAGTGGGGAAAAAATAAAAATACGACCTATTTCCCAGGGTGGTGCCCAGAAGCATTTGATATGTGAAAACATTCTGCAGACTGTAAAATTCTGTGCAAACGTTAATTAATAATTGTATCAGTTGGGCCACATGAGCTGGCTCAAGTCTCAGTATTTTTGCACAACAGACGTAAATACCTTGTTGACATAAAGATTAATCAGATGTTTGTCAGACGGCCTTGCAGCTAACAATTTAGGGACTTTAGCTCCTTGCATCTTGAGACCCTGCGACCCCCTAGGATTTTATGGGAGAACCCAGAAGGGCCATCCATCGTGGCTACTCAAATCCCATCGCGCAAGCCATACTTAACTGCAAGGGAAGCTGGGAAATGGATTCCTGCTGGGTGCCCAGGAAGAAGAGAAAAGGGATTTACATTCAATGAAAAGTTCACTGAGGCAGAGCGGGCTCTTGCTCGTCTTTGACTCTCTGAAGCGCCGTCCCTGTGTTGCACACAATAAGCTCTCAAAAAAATGTAGAATTAGTCATTGCTTGTATATAAGTTTCACACTTCAGCCAAAATGCTCATAATTAATTACATGTTGGGATGAGTCAAATATCTGAACTTCTCAACATTTTCTTCAAGTTTTAAGTCACATATCATCTTGCCAAGTCGTTTTGGCATTACTTCATGCTCTCTGGATTTTTTTTTTTTTTAACAAAATAATACCTCTTGCCAATCTTAATTCTGTTCTCTAAATTCTATATTCTAAGCAAAGTTCTTTAGATAAAACCACAAACCATCGGGCATTTCTCATCCAGTCGGATGCTAACACAGCCAGTCTCGGCCTCCTTGAAAGCACAGTTGCCACCATTTTCATTGTGTCATTCCCCTCCTTCCCATTTCCTGCCACCCGGACTACTACAAACAGCGGAAGAACACAGTCTTCCACCTTTTCCAGCATTTTCCAAACATGCTTTTCGCTTGCTGTTCTCAGTAGAGATTGATATTGAGAGTCTTCTTGGGTAGTAGCTCCTACTTGTGCTCCCCAGTTGTGGCCTTTACTTCTCAGTGAGGCCTTTCCTGGCCACCTTGTCTACGACACAGCCCCTCCCCCTGCCCACCACGTACACTCATCACTACTAACACAGGGTTTGTACTCATTTCTCGTTTGTTGCGTGTTTCCCCACTACAACACAAGCTCCATGACAGGATGAATTTGTGGCCTTTACCATCTACTTCCTTTACAGCATTATCCCCGTGCCTGACACATGGAAGAAACCCAAGCGATAGTGGTTGAATTAATGAGTGACTCCATGGTAGTTCAAAAGGTTTAAACGCGGGGGAATTAAGGACACCTTTGTCAGAGTATGTGAGCCATTACTATAAGCATTCTTGATTTCCTTAGACAGATGATGGGAATTGTGTATCGAGGAAAAAAAATTGTGAGGTAGGGGGAGAGGTGGGCCAGAGACCCCAGGCCAGGGCCCGTAAAAAGCAAACCGACTCTGGAGTCAGAGAACTTGGCTATAGCCCCGTCTTTGCCACACGTTAACTTTGTGACGTCACCTTCTGAGATTTCCATCTCTTTAGTTATCAAAGGACAAGGTTAGAACGAACAAGATCCAAGCTCCCTTCTAGTTCTAAACTCTACATGGCTCTATGCCCTCACACTGATTTTGCCTCTTTTATTTCTACAAAGCACAAAAGAATCCCATCACTTTGTACGCTGTCTTGGCATATTTGGCATTTCAGAATCTAGTTGGTTATACCAAAGCCGACGGCTGCGTTGGCACAGCTGCTCTGCGTGGGCGGACAAATTTGTTTTGTGTTTTTAAAGAAGCTTTCGGAATTAGTACAATAATTCCAAACAAGGAAGGCTGAAGCCTGATGGTTGAAGCGTGTTAGCCGTTGTGCCGTTTCACAGCTTTCGGAAGGATTTACGAGCTCCGAAAGGAAGGCTTTGTTCCCCGTTGGCATTAGACAGGAAGACCTGTCAGAAAAGGTGGCTGCGAGTTTGTCCGCGAAGGCAGAATGCACCTGCCTGGAGGCAGCGCTTCCTTCGAAGAATGGATAGAAGGGCTAGAGAGACCCGCAGAGGCCTGGCGAGGACCCAGGGTTTGTTCTGAGTGTTAGTAACGTCCTTCATTTTCTGATGTTGGGACTGCCTCTCCCACATGGCCAGTATGTGAGTTAATGAGAGAACGCGGAGAAGAACCTGGCTTTGTCTCATCATACACAACAGGCGCCTCGATCCAGAGGCTGACGCACGGTTCCAGAGTCTGGCTAGGACAGGCTAGCACACCAGTTGTTTGCTTCTCGGACGCTGGCTCGGAAATGCTAGAGCTGGAGAGAGGTCCTGATAACAGCCATCATGAGCACGCTATCAAAACTCAGGGCAGCAGATGGTAACAGTCGTTCTCAAACTTGAGCGTGCAGCAGGGTGGCAAGGAAATTTGCCCGACCTTCAGATTCCTGCGCCACACTCCAGAGAATCAGATGGGGTAGCGCTGGGATGGGGCCCAGGAATCCACACTTTCTCATGAACGCCTCCTGGCCATTCTGGTCATCTCTGAACCACGCCTTGGGAAACCACATCTTGGGGAATGCCCAAGAGGCGGGAAAGACCATGAGCTGGGGAAGGCGCTACCAGAATTCAAATCTGTGCTTGGCTGTATATTTGCCGTGGGATCTCGGGCCCATGCTCAACGTCACTAAGCCTTCGTTTTCCCGTAGTACAAAAGCGACATGAAGTCACCTAATTTATAGGATCATTTTGAGAATTAGAAATGACACTTTAAGACGCTTGGGACAAGAACTGACATAGACTAGGCACGCAAAAAAGAAAGATCACTGCTCTTCTTACATGAAATTGCTAAGATGCTGCCCTATCACAGCACTTTTAAAGGTGTCGCCTCTGTGGCAAAGCCCACCCCGCCGGCTCTGTAGAAGCATGACCTGCTCCCACATGTACAGAGTCCCTAGCACCCGTCACCTGTTAACTCGCTGTATAACTTACTCATTTATTGTGCTTATTGAAACCCGATAGAACGTGCAAACTTTCTGAAGGCAGGGATTCTCATTTCTTTTGTCCACTGGCGCTCCAAAAGGCAAATAATATATTATTGGTTGAATAAGTGCAACAATATATTGCCAGAAAAATACGCATTTCTGTTGTTTGTTTGTTTGTTTGTTTCTGGTTCAGTGCCCATACCCCTTAGATCCCCTCGCCTTTAAATTATGACCCTGTATTTCGCACATCAACAGTTGAATAACTGGATAACATGAAATGATGCTCTCTGGGAACACTGGAAATAAGGGAAGGGTCATGCATATCCAGAAACAGTCTCTGGTATCTTTGTAAGGCAGAAAGCATTCCCCGACTAAATCATTGGCGCGTGCATCGCTCTGAGTCATTGCTCAGACATACATAACATAACCGAGGCTGGCAACTCCGGAGAAAAGTCATTGCTGCTCTTGGAATCAGTAAGAGCTTCAGAGCAGAGTGGAGAGAACTGTCAGCCCATTCTGAGGGCCGATACTAACTGATTCCTCCCCGGGCTCCTTTTTGGAGAGAGGGAAAGTGGAGCCGGCATCCCCTTCTAGGCCCGCGAAGAGCCCAGCGTGCTGCGGAGACGTGGGAACGCCAGCGCAGTCAGCCGGAGCTGGGGACCAGCCCCGCACACATGGGAATTTTCAACTGAGAACAACCCGGAGCAAAGGTCACAGGCCGACACGAGGATTCCAGGCTCGGAGGCCAAGCCCCGCTTTGTGTTCTCTCCATTCCCCGATGCAAATTGCATTTTCTTAAAACCGCTTTTGCGTGCCAAGTCCAAGGGAGTCAAGCAGTGATCCGGGTCATCAAATGGGAAACCACCCCCTACCATCGTATCTAGAGAATT